TTTTATTCTCTGGCTTTTAACGCTACATGAGTTGTGTGCTCCTCTGTGTCTTTTATTTATTTTAATAATTTTTAATGTATTTTATTGGTTTTATTTATTTATTGCTTTTCTGTGAATTTGCTTTATTTTTTTTTGACTGGTTTTATTATTTTAAGACTAGTATGATTATTTTAGCTGTTTATTTGATCATTTTATTATTGTTGTTATTATTATGTGTTTGTGCAGCACTTTGGAAACTGTTTGTTTGTGAAATGTGTTATAGAAATAAAAGTGGACTGGATTTGACCCATCCTTCAGTGTCTCTGGTTTAAACCTGCATTTGACCCTATCTTTCAATGTCTCTGGGTTAAATTGGCATTTGACCCATCCTTCAGTGTCTCTGGGTTAAATTGGCATTTGGCCCATCCTTTAGTGTCTCTGGGTTAATCCTGTATTTGACCAATGTTTCAATGTCTCTAGGTTAAACTGACATTTGACCCATACTTGAATTTGACCCACGCTTCAATGTCTCTGGTTTAAACCTGCATTTGACCCCACTTTCATTGTCTCTGGGTTAAATTGGCATTTGACCCACCCTTCAGTGTGTCTAGTTTAAACCTGCATTTGACCCACAAATAAGTGTCTCTGAGTTAATCCTGCATTTGACCGATCTTTCAGTGTCTCTAGGTTAAACTGACATTTGACCCATCCTTCAGTGTTTCTGGCTTAAACTTGAATTTGACCCATCCTTCAGTGTCTTTGGTTTAAATCTGCATTTGACCCCTCTTTCAATGTCTCTGGGTTAAAGTGGCATTTGACCCATCCTTCAGTGTCTCTGGGTTAAACCCGCCTTTGCCCCATCTTTCCCTCAGTGTCTCTGGGTTAGACGTGTCGGGAGCAGTGGGGGTGGTCAGGAGCACCTCAGCCGGAGGAAGTCTTAGGTTAAATAGAAAAACCAGTCCGGTCCATATTGAGTCCAGGTTCCATGAAGTCGCCTTAAAAAAACAAAACCATGTCCAGGATTTCACTTTTGGCTGCACAAGTCGTTCTCCTGCTCTTTAATCTTTCTCATCTCTTTTCTTTTTTGTCTGGTACAAATTTGACAGAAATTTAGAGATTGTCAAATATTTTCTAAAAGCAGAGTTGTTATTGAGGTGTTATTAAAAAGATAAGCTCTGGTTTAACGCTGCAGCGAAAAGACTAAAAAGGAAACACAAGAAAATGTATCAAACTCACAGAGAAATACCACATGATTATAGAAGAGGGAGGAGGCCTAACACGATAATCACTATATCCACTTCTCCACTTATATTTCTTTTCTTTCACAAACCAATTTCTTTACATGTTCTCCCTGTGTGTGAGTGGGCTTCCTTTGGGTGCAGCTACAGAGTTCTTATTCAAAATATGAAGAGATAAGGCCTAGTTGAAGCAACACCATATCATTTTCTAGAAGTGGCATGTCAAGTTAAAACTTCAAAAACATTCTCCATGGAGTTTTAAGCCTCACTGTTGAACATTATCTCCAAGATCACAAAGGAAAGCACAGTTGGGGGTGTTGAAATGTTATTAAAATTTCAAACACAATTTTTATACCAAGTTAATCAACATTTGAGGGTGAGGGTTTGGTTCCATGTTCAACCAGTGGATACTTGTCTTGTGTACTTAAGCAATACACTTCCACATTATTCATCCAAGTACAAAAGTGCTATGTATGGTTTGGTGATGATTAGTACTGCAGTTCTTTGAAGCTCCCAAATTTTCAATATGAGCACATCACCCCCATTTTATCCTCCCTTCACTGACTGCCCGTGCACTTTAGGATCCATTTTCTGAGCTCTCTGAGCTCCTCCATCCACTCACCCCTGCAGGTCTCCTCAGTGTCGACCAGCTCTCCTGAGTGTCGCAGCTCCTCCTGAGTGTGCCGACCAGCTCCTCCTGAGTGTGCCGAACACCAGCTCCTCCTGAGTGTCAGCTCCTCCTGAGTGTGCCGAACACCAGCTCCTCCTGAGTGTGCCGAACACCAGCTCCTCCTGAGTGTGAGTGTGCCGAACACCAGCTCCTCCTGAGTGTGCCGAAGACCAGCTCCTCCTGAGTGTGCCGAACACCAGCTCCTCCTGAGTGTGCCGAACACCAGCTCCTCCTGAGTGTGCCGAAGAGCCGGAAACTCAGGGGGACAGAGCCTTTGTGGTGGCTGCACCAAAACTAAGGCATGAGCCTTTGCACATTAGACAAGATTCTTTTCTACCTGTTTTTAAATCTCATCTTAAAATGCACTTGTTCACTTTGGCTTTTGACACAGTTTGAGACACTGACATTTCATTAGATTGTTTTTTTTAGTTTCTGTTTGTATTCATTTGTTGTTTTACAGTTTTTATTGTTTTTATTAGATTCTGTTTTTAGTCATATGTTGTTTTATTGTTTTTATTAGATTCTGTTTTTATTCATTTGTTGTTTTACTGTTTTTATTGTTTTCATTAGATTCTGTTTTATTCATTTTTTGTTTTATTGTTTTTATTGTTTTTCTATTTAATTATGTTCTCTAGCACTTTGGACAACCTGTTTTGTTTTTAAAGTGCGTTATAAAGTTAAAGTAATAATAGTAGTGGTAATAGTAGTAGTATAAAGTAATAAAGTTGCAGTTGCAGTTCCAAATTTAATTTCAATGACACCACAAAGTGACATTTCAGATATGTCTGAAGAAGAGCTTGGCCTGAAACGTCACATTGTTGTGTCACTGAAATAAAAATTGTGAGCTTCAAAAAACTGCTTTCTTCTTTTGCACAATTTTTGTTTTTGGACCCACGCAGTTTTTGTTTTTGTTGGATGTGCCTGTCTCTGTGTACCAGTATTGGCAATGATTAAACCACTGACGCAGATCGGCTAATTTGATTTTAATTCCGTTTACTTGATTGACTGCGTCATCATTTTTACTGACCGTTTCTTAAGAGCAGTATGTCCTCTGTAATATTTCCTGTCATCTTTCCGTTCCATTAAAAACCACTAGATCAACAGTGTAATTGAAACCACGCAGTCTCCCTCTCATTCATCTTCATGCGGCCAGAGACAGTGTGATATAAGAGATGATTTATTCCAACATATATCTGCCGCTCCTTTGTGATGTCTGACAGCTGTTCCAGATGTTTCCGATCAGTCACCACAGCCTGTGAAACTGCACATGTGGAAATCCAAGTGAAGTGGTGACATCCGAGTGTATACAAAGGCTTATAGGAGGAAACTGTAATGTTGTCTAGTCAGCGCAAAACACCACTTTAAAAGGCACAGGAGTGGACTAATGACAGGGAGGAACGGGCCCGGGGCAGAGGGGGACCCACTCTGAGGGAGGCACATTCAAAGTATCGGGGCAAGAACGCCCGCACTAAATGACACTATCTAGTATAATCATATACAGTGAAGTACTTTTAGTCAGTTGAGTCACTTTTGTCAACATCCTTTTCCTCTCATTTTAGGACATCAGACTTTTTACTAGCACTTTCTTAGACTTAGACTTAGACTTTACAGATCCACAAAGGAAATGATTTGGACACAGTAGTTTACTCATCACAATATAATATAATAATAAAGAGTAAAAAATATAAATGGTAATATTAAATTCTAAACAAGCAGCAAAAAACATCAAGAGACAGAAAAATAGGTAATAAAATATAAGATCTCAGCTTTATACCACATATATACATGTCAGCTGTAATTGTACCATAAAATTGTGTATTTTATTATAATTATTATTATAGAAGTTATAGAAGTTATTATTAAGAAGTTATTAGAAGTTATAGAAGTATTATAGAAGTTCTTGATTTACTGGTCAGTCTTTGTTCCTACTCTCACCTATGGTCATGAGCTCTGGGGTAATGACTGAAAGGACGAGGTCGTGGATACAAGCGCTCGAAGTGAGTTTCCTCCGCAGGGTGGCCGGGCGCTCCCTTAGAGATAGGGTGAGGAGCTCAGTCACACGGGAGGAGCTCGGAGTAGAACCGCTGCTCCTCCACATCGAGGAGAGCCAGTTGAGGTGGCTCGGGCATCTGTTCCGGATGCCTCCTGGACGTCTCCCTCAGGAGGTGTTCATGTCCCACCGGGAGGAGGCCCCGGGGAAGACCCAGGACACACTGGAGGGACTATGTCTCTTGGCTGGCCTGGGAACGACTCGGGGTCCCCCCCAGAGGAGCTGGAGGAAATGTCTGGGGTGAAGGAAATCTGAGAGTCCCTGCTTAGGCTGCTGCCTCCACGACCCAACCCCAGATAAGCGGAAGAAAATGGATGGATAACACATGGCTTTAAAGGTCCCATGTTACACAGAACTAGCCAGTCTGGTGCCACCTAGTGCCTATGCTCAATTTCTTTTCTCTCCAGGGACTAGGTCAGGAATCAGAATAAACTAGATGGTTTTCAGAAACCCCAGAAGTGCGAGTTCGGGCACCAGCCAATCAGCAAAGAGCCATGCATTCTGTGTTGTCAACGATTCCCGAGATTGACGATTTAAAGCTGGAATACAGAGAATGTTTGGTGAATTTTAATCAAGGGGAAAGACGTTATTGCCCTTTTTCCTATGGGATTTAGGAAAAGCTTCATATACAAGTTAACCCCGTTAGCGGCGACTGCTTAAATGATTAAAAGTACCCACCTACCGTCGAGCGAACAAATTCTACCATTGTGAGGTCAGACGGTTTCTACGAAGTGAAACCAGCTGATGAATCAGGCTAACACAAAACTGTCTCTCAGGAGCTTTAGGTCATGTTCTAATGTTGTCATCAAAAACAAACCTGGAGTTACAGTATGTTGTGTTTCATTCGCACATGTTTGAGTAATTCTTTATTATCAGTCTGTCTACATTTCCTAAGCTCAAAATGCTCTGTTCCACCTTGTGATGTCATGAAGCTGTAGTTTTCAAGTTTCCTTTTACCTTTGGTTCAATAGATATTGGCCATTCCAGAAATGAAATGATCCAAATGATTCTAGTGAGGGTGTAATGATTGATTGGCCCGAATAATGATGAAACTCTCAGAGAGTTTGACAAACACACGAGTCTTTATTGAAACCAGTTAGACAAAAAAACAACATTAGAAATAACTTAAAACCAGTGAGTCCCGTTTAGTTCAATCTTTAAAACTACATTATACAGTATTTCACTAAATGTGTCATCGAGTTTCCCCTGCTTTCCCTTCTCCACTTTAAACAACAGAAGTTTTACAATCTTCTTAATGTTTTTGGTTTCCGCTGCATATTTCGAGTTCCATTTGAAGTCCCGGGTCCATAAAGACTTCTTCAAAAGCCAAAACTATGTCATAAGATTTCACATTTGGCTGCAGAGGTTTCCCAGTCCATAATCTGTCCTTTTCATGTCTGAACGGTGCAAATTGGACAGAAATCTGGAGATTGTCAAATGTTTTCCAAAAGCAGAGCTGCTGTCGAGGCGTTCAGAAGATTAGCTTTGGTTTAAGGCTGTGGCGAAAACAAAGATTTTATGACTATTTCAAAATTCCGCTTGCATGTTCTCCCTGTGACTGAATGGGTTTTCTATGGGTGTATCTACTATATATAGTTTCTAATCAAAACATGAAGAAATGAAGGTTACAGCTGGTTAAAGTAGCACCGTGTAACTTTCTGGAGGTGGCATGTCAAGTTAAAAACATACTTCAAAATATTCTCCATGTAGATAGATAGATAAACAAATATTTTATGACATACTGTGCAATGTTAGACCCACAGGAACAGCAACATCTCCATGGAAACAAACAGGAAGAGGCCAGGTTTGTGGACATGAAAGCCTGCTCAGAGTAACGACTACTGACAGTTTTTCAGTGCAATTAAAAGAACTAAAATGAAATAAAGATGCTTTTATTTTTGTGTATTTGTTTTTCTCAAAGTTGCACGGTAGTTTCCTTTCTCTAGAATTTCCAGTTTTCCCAATGAAGATTCAGATGGGCATGATTGACAGGTGGATTAGCCAATCAGGAACACGCATGTTATGTACGAGGGGTGTAAGAAAAAAAATCAATTCAATGATATATCCTGATACTTCATTGCACCATTCTGGAATTGATTCAAAATAGATCCAAATCGATTTTAAAATTTTCACAAAAATTCATTAGTTACATTCACTGTTCTCATGATTTAAAAATAAAAATATAAAGTTATATTTCATACAATTGTGTTCCCTTAAAGGTGTAGTTGACTGTATTATTAGAAGTAATTATTCATAAATCGCAACATCATCCATTGTTTTAGTATCGGGATATATTGAATCATGACATGTGAATCATGATATGTTTTGTATCGTCAGACTCAAGGTAATGCATACCCCTAGTATGGGTGTATCAAAACAATTATGTCTCATTATGAGGGTGAAAAAGAAAGCAAATATGACAGGGGACTGAAAAACGGCAGGTTTCCACAGAAACGATGAGTAAAACAAAAACTAAACTTTTTCCATTTGAGGGGTGACACATGTGATTTTGTTTCTAAATGATGGGTGACCAATGCGCTCTTTTCACACTTACGTCACAAACCTGGAAGACGTTTGGAAACATGCGATGACAAATTCCAACAGGCTCTGTTCGTGGTAGTAAGTCTGACAAAATCTAGGAAAAATCGGAAAATGTCCCAGTTTTCTTCATCTCCGTGTCATGTGGTGTTCCGCTGTGTTCCACTCATCAACAGTTATAACTAGGGGTGCAACGATATCCAAGTCTCATGATACGATATCGTCACGGTATGAACCTCACGGTACGATACTTATTACGATATCGTGGGAAAGCTCACGATATGAGATGTAACAATATCCAAATCTCTTGGTATTGTGATATTTTGTGGAGCTAATAAAAGTGTTAATATACTACTTTTTCCTTTAAAATGCCTTGACAAGACTTAATCCAAAGAACTAAGACTCAAAAGTGTTAGAACTGTTATTTCTTCTTGTAGTCCGCATTGAAATGGAGCAAAGGATCATGGTCTATGTAGTTGCCTCTGTTTTTTCTTAGCTCTTGCTGCACCATAACTCTTCATTTAAACAAAGAGACTTGTAATTCGATATATTGTGATGGTCCACGATATTATTGTAAGAACTCTGACGATAGGATATCACGATATTTCGGTTATTGTTACATCCCTAGTTATAACCATAGCTCAGTTTTGATCATTTCCCCACTGACACACAACTCTGAGCGCACAGGGTACATGTGATTAGAAGAGACGAGGCACCAAATTCCGGATGATTCCAAACAGCACATACGTCTGCAGTCTTTATTTTACCACTGATCACATTTACTTCAGTGGGTTTGATCACAGTCGGTCGGTGAGCCCAGTATTGGGAACTACACCGGAAGTTGTTATTGCATGTTTCCAAACATATTCCTGGTTTGTGACGTAAGCCTGAATAGAGCCTATGCATTCCTGAAATAAACAAATGTGATTGGAAATGGATGATGTCTGAATCTGTCTGGAGTCGCGACGGAGGGCGTGGTGACCAGAATAAGGTCCCTCTATTTAAAACATACAAAGAAAATGGTTTAATCGACTAATGAACTTTTAATTGCACCTTTAAGGCTGTAAATGTCTTAAGAGGCCGACGAGCGCAGGGTCCAGCAGTTCTGCTTTAGGAAAGACCAGCACCATAAACATCCATCAGTCCTTAAGGCACCAGGGCTCTGTGCGATATGTAAACAGTCTGTGTGGTGTTACAGAAGGGCGACAGTAGGGGGCGCTCTACCCCCGGGAGCAGATGTAAACAGTCTATCCTCCTCATTCTCTGTACATTAGAGGAGTCTGTTACAGCACTCTCCCTCAGCTCCATGTCACAGTTGTGTCTGTCCTCCTCTGGTACAGTGTAAGGACAGTAGGTGGCGCTCTATCCGTGCTCTGGGTCACTTTGGGGCTCTGGGTGCAGATGTAAACAGTCTGTGCTCCTCTGTTGCAGTATAGGGACAGGAGGTGGCACTCTATCCGTGCTCTGGGTCACTTTGGGGCTCTGGGTACACGTGTAAACAGTCTGTGCTCCTCCGTTGCAGCAGGGGGCGCTCTACCCTTGCTCTGGGTCAGGGGGAGGCTCCGGGTGCAGGCGGCACACTGGTTTGTTGCACATAGGGCACACACTTCTGACCTCCAGCCACTTTAAAAGGCACCTGCAAGAAACAACATATTTTGGAAATTATAAATCTAAAATATGCTTAAAGGTCCTATATTATGCAAATTTGACTCCTGTGAATTTTAAGCCATGTTATAATGTTCCAAACTACTTGCTACAAATACTTCCAAATCTCATAATACTCTGTTCCACCTTGTGATGTCATATAGTGGTAGTTTTCAGATTAACAGCTTGGTAAAGATTGTAAAGATGGACAATTTCAGGTCTGAAACTATATAAACCAGATGATCCTAGAAAAAGTGTATGGAGTTAAAAACACATTTTATATATAATTTCAGCTGACCAAAGTGCTTTACTACATAAAAGTCAACAAAAAACTGAAGAAACAAGAAACGTCCTTCCCCTCAGCTGCTCCTCTTGATGTGGAGGAGCAGCGGCTCTACTCCGAGCTCTGCCTGTGTGACTGAGCTCCTCACCCTATCTCTAAGGGAGCACCCAGCCGCCCTGCAGAGGAAACTCATTTGGGCCGCTTGTATCCGCAATCCTGTCCTGACAGTCATTACCCAGAGCTTATGACCATAGGGGAGGGGAGGAGTGTAGATTGACGATTAATCGAGAGCTTTGCCTTTGTGCTCAGCTCCCTCTTCACTACCACAGTCCGATACAGCGACCGCATCACTGCCAACGCTGCATCGATTTACCTGTTAGTCTCACGCTCCATCCTCCCAAGACAAGACACCTTGATGCATATACAGATATACAGAAAACACGACAAATGTGAAAATTACCATAAAACAGTAAGATAACCTGACTGGCTCAAATTAAATGTCAGGGAGAAGAGGTGAGTTTTCAGTCTAGTCTTAAACTACAGACTGAGAGGATCTGACAGAAAAGGAGGGCTGTTCCATAGTCTGTGTGCTGCCACAGAAAAGCCTCTGTCACCTCTCGTCTTGAGAACAGTTTAGAGCACTTCCTGTATTACCACATGACATCACAAGGTGGAACAGTTTTATGTTGGAGGAAAGAACTCAGCCTAAATCTGCAGGGTTTGTGAGTTAAACATGTGTGACTGAAACAAAACACAACTCCAGGTCTGTTTGTGATGACATGGATCAAAAAACAGCCTAATATGGGCCCTTTAAACGACTTTTACAATAAACGTTGCTGAAAAACATCATAACAACACCAAATCCACGTCAACTAATCTGACAGTTCCACAGCAGACTTCACCTGAGAGCTCTGACCCGTCTCCAGCTCAGGTTCAACTATAGGGGCTCTATTATCTAATATTGTGACATCATGTGAAGGCCATTGTATAGCAGGATACATAATGTGTGCCCTCCTGTGCGACACCGCTCCATTGTACGCCGTTTGTTCCCGGTTAAATGTGAGGATCTGTTTTGGCTCTGGGCACATTCTTAAACAGCAGCAGGTTCAGTCGTGGACACACACAGATCAGCGCAGACGAGAAGAATGGGGACAGGACGCGGTTAAATCACTGTTTAGGGAAACAAATCTGAGGACCAAAAGTACAGAGCGGTGGAAGTGTGAGCGGGGAAACACAAAATGGTCATTATGTCATTGCTCTGCCTGGAATGTTCCACAGTGTGACATTAAACAGCTCTGTGTTACATTTATTGAATTACAGGTGGTTTCATAGCTCAGAAGTACAGCGCAAAAACTCCACAGATCTGAGATATAACTTGGTCTGGTTTGGTCATGGAGATAGAAAAGTTTAATATCATATTGTGAAACATTCCAGATAAAACAATAACACCTCCATTTAGAAACACAAGTGACGGAGCCTTCACCAGAAAAGTTACACAATGCACATTTACAGTAAGTAGATTTCAGGTGTTTATGACTTGTTAGATTGCTCATTTCCCTAGAACTCAGCGCTATTTCCTGCATTTTTTTTTTTTCATTTTTTCCCCACAAACTGACACTTCAAAGCGCATTGTGCAACTCCAAACTTTTTCCTCCAGTGAGCTACTTTTACAAAACAGACATGCCAGAGAGCTACTAGTTTTAGTGGTCACAAGAAATGTAGTATATAACAGAGCCATAGTAAGTCTTAGATGAAGTACAGTTAGATCAGGGTGAGCAGACTAGGGCTGTCACAATAACCACAAAAATGGATCACCGCGGTACTAAGACGTCCACCACACGTGACCACATGACCTGACCCAGAGTCCTGTACGGGTCCATTTTTAGAGATCCCCACCCGCCCGGACCCATTAACATTTCCTCCATTGCCACCCGTGCCCGTGATAACCCAGGACTAACACAGGACTAACTGACTCGTGCTTTGCGGACACCCTGCTCTGCGTGCTTGTGTTTATTTCTCTCTTATGTCCACGGATACCCGAGCCGGTGCAGGACTCTGACCCGAGCTGTCACAGTGAGAGCTGGAGAGATGCAGCGGCACTTGGTACAAACAAAGTCAAATGTTACTTCTCCCACACTACACACACTATATCCACATGACAACCAAGGTACATGTGCATCATCAGAGAGAGTTTTCAGAGCCGCTGGAAATATTATAACTCCAGGGGATGTGGGGTGAGAGAGGGGGTGCGATATCACCGCATACTTCACTGTTGAGCCGCTATACCGCACCGCAAGAGAAATTCCTAACCACAACAGCCCTAGAGCAGACGTCCCTATTTCCCCAGGACAGTCCTAGTTCTGAGTCCTGTGTCCCCTGTCCCAGCAGATTTATACAAAACCACTGATTTGTCCCAGTTTTGCACAAGAAATGTAGCCAGGCTGGTGCCATCTAGTGTCTCCGCGCAATTTCATTTCTCTCCAGCGACTAGGTCAGGAGTCAGAATACACTAGACAGTTTACAAGAACCCCAGAAGTAAAGAGCTGTGAAGCCATGATGTCAAACTCGTCGCGTCTGTCTGGGTCCCTTTTGTGGTACAGCACAACAGTAAACAAAGCGTAGAGATGGATGTAGACGAAGACAGACATTCTGTGATTGCAACGATTCCTGAGATCGAGGATTTAAAGTTGGTGTGAGATTATTTTGACCCCCACAGTATATTGACCCCGGGGTGAACATACCGCTATAGTAAAGTGACCCCCTATAGGATTTTGACTCCCCTTACTTTTTTCTTTAGTAATTACTTTTATTATTGCTACATGATAATTTTTTAAGGTATTTTAAGGAATGTTTTGATGGAGAATAAATGTAATGTATTGTTAAAATTGCATATACATAACAATCTTGTCACTTTTTATATTGTATTTTACATTGTTATGGTTTTTAGTTTGTTATGTTCAGATAATCCTTAATCATAATGTCAATTTAGGCAATGGTTTGTAAAGATAATGACCTTGAATTTAGTCATGTTGTGTTATTAAATCTTTTCATATCCCATATTTAACTACTCAATTGATCAGCCCTGTCTATTTTAACAAGATTCCAAATCATTAAACATCACTTTGATTACCTAAGTCATTAATAACTACTTATCTCATTTTCAGTAAAATATGTTTAAACAACTAAGTCATTTTTAACATTCAAAAGTTATAATCGACATAAAAAATGCATCTGAGTTCTTCAAAAAACACTTTTAAATATGTCAATATGTTTTAATTTGCAGATATAGTATTAATAGTTAAAGTTTTTCTATAGAATTCAAGTTGTTTATTAATCAAATATAGATTTTCATAGGGGGATCAATATTCTATGGGGGGTCAACATACCAGAGTAGGATTCTGACCCCAGGGTCAAAATACTATATAGTATGTTGACCCCGGGGTCACATCACCAAATAGAATGTTTGCTGAATTTTGTCAAGGGGAAAGACGTTATTGCCCTTTTTCCAGGGGGATTTGGTGCATTACACACGTCACGACCAAATAGCAGCGATTGGTTAAATGAAAAAAGTACCCGCCTACCGTTGAGAAAACAAATCCTAATGCTGCGAGGTCAGATGGTTTCCACGAAGTGAAACCGGCTGACGAATCAAGCTACAAGAAATGTCCCAGATGTCCCTACTTTTGACCAATCTGATCCCTGCCAACAGTAAAGAGGATCCTACATTGTCATTTGTTGAGGTAAAAATGACCAAAACACAAAGAAAATGTGACTAGTCATGAATGGGCCGAAACAAGTACAGAAAAGTTTTCCTTAATTATGCACTTGTTTCACAATTTTATTATTACCAACCACCTCAAACCAGGGGTGTCCTAGTTTTAGATTTTGAAAATTTGAGCACCCTGCTGTTTGATGCCTATAAAACATAAACCTTTATCCATTTATTAGTGTATAAAGTCAGGCATCAAAATGACACATGTAGAATGGTTAAATGAATCAGCTACTAGGAAGGAGGTGGAGAACTACAGGTTGGAGACGTCTCGTGTAACTTGTCTGGTAGAGGGTCCGTCATCTGCTTGTCTCCGTGGAGATGTGGCTCGAATGTTCCACAGTATGGCCATAAACCTAAGAATCTCCATGGAGACTTGCAAGCCACATTACAGGTTGGTTTTGTGGACCCTGCTCACAGAAAAAAAATCATGTTTTTTAAGGTATTTTTGAGCAAAAAAGAAGTTGCAGGTTGCAGAGCCGCTTCAGAAAAGTTACACAATATAACAGATAGTATTCCACAAAACCACATACTAATTAGACCAAGTTGTGCATCTGTGTGTTTGCAGTAAAGGGTTAAGTGTGAAGTGTGTCAGTGCTCCCGAGCTCCGCCTGAGCCTGGAGCTGAACACGACTGAACCTGCTGCCGTTTAAGAATGTGCCCAGAGCCAAAACAGATCCTCACATTTAACCGAGAACAAACGGCGTACAATGGAGCGGTGTCGCACAGGAGGGCACACATTATGTATCCTGCTATACAATGGCCTTCACATGATGTCACAATATTAGATAATAGAGCCCCTATAGTTGAACCTGAGCTGGAGACGGGTCAGAGCTCTCAGGTGAAGTCTGCTGTGGAACTGTCAGATGCAAATTAGTTGACGTGGTTTTTGGTTAATATCTCTGTAATTACTAGGACTATCCACATGAAACTTGGCACAAAGTTCAATATCGTCACTGTCGGTTTAAATAAACAATAGTGGTTTTTTTTTTTTAACAACAGCTTGAGCAAGTGGCTGACGCACTGAAGGGTGGGTCAAATGCAGATGGCAAATTATCAACAACCCTCAACATTAAATAATACTTTGACAAATGGAAGATGTGCAGGAGCAAAATACTGAAACAACAGACATGGGTGGTACAAATTAAGAAAGCACCAATATGATCCTGGTGTCAGATTTCAGCTCCAATACTGAACATTTTGGTAGATTGGATATCTGGTTCAAGAAATCAGTTCAGTTGATATTTTGTTCTATAATCTAGTGTAATAAAATGATTCGCAAAACATGTCATAATAATAAACTTGTACTTTACAAAGCTGTTACTGTTACTGTGGCCCAAAGCAAGAAAAATGATCTGACAAAGGCTTTTTTGCTGAAAGGTTATTTAAAAATTAAAAAGAAGAAAAGCTTTTGGACATCGGCCATCTGAGCTCTGCATTTTTTTTTCACTTTAATAAAACAGACTTTTATCATAGACTTTTACTCTTATTTGAGAGCGCTTTTCTGAACACTCAAAGACGCTTTACAGTTCATTATTAATTCACTCCACACTCAGTGGTGGTAAGTTACTATTGTAGCCACAGCTGCCCTGGGGCAGACTGACAGAAGCGAGGATGTTAATCTGCACCATCAGCCCCTTTGACCACCACCATCACTCACGCATACACCACTTTCATACTAGGCAATGTGGGTGAAGTGTCTTGCCTAAGGACACAGTGATAGTTTTTTGTGAATGGCGCCCCCTGTGGCTCCTGATTTTCCCAGTGTCTCCCATCTAAGTCCTAACCAAACCCAACCCTGCTGAGCTTCTGAGATCTGACCCCAGATCAGGCTCTGACAGGCCGGTATGTATGTAAATCAAATACTTTACTCTCACTCACCCATGGATTTGAGCAAACTGTGTTTTGCCCCAGTACAGATGTACTGTATAAGCAGCTCTTGAGGTAAAAATACCTGATACTCAGGATGGGTGTGTTAGCATGCTAGCTGTTGTTAGCTTTACTGCTCTAAACTCTGCTCTGGCTTCTGAAAGTTCTGAAAATCACTTGTGAACTCATCATGGTGAAAAATGTGGATGTTCTGAAGGCATAAGGTAAGTGAGGAAGAACTTTGGACCACTGCAGATTTGTTTTTCACATTTTTAGGACTGTAAAAATCTAATTAATTAATTAACCTCCAGGACCACTACTTTGTACTTATCCTTGAGTAAACTTATTTTGAAGTAGCAATACACTTACTTGAGAAAAATGTATGGCTCCACTAGCACTACTATCTAATGTCATACACAATAATTCATAGTACATTAGTATCATAGGAGTTGTGCGTACTTTTTGTGGAAGGCGTGGGAACAGGGGCACACTCCCAGCTCGTCCTTGGTCCTAAACTCCTCCAGACACACGGCGCACGTTTGCTGAAAAAAAACCAAAGGGGGAATGAGCTATGACCAAAAGTCTCCTCTGACGTGTGCACTCTTATCAAGCAGTTTATTACTCACACGGGATTTAATAACATCGTAAAAATCACGTGGAGTCAAATACAAGAGATAACAGGAGGAAGTGAAACTGTTAAAGGGACTATTTACTATTCAAGATCACTGTGACAACTTTGCATTTTACATTATAGTATAAAGATGCGCTCTGGAACTTTTCAGGTGGAGAGTCAGACACAGACACTTTCTTGTCTCTGAGGAGATTTTATTGCTTTGCCTGGAATTTTCCACAGCATGGCATTAAATGTATCTGTCTCCAGGGAGTCAAGCAGGTGATAAAACCAGGGCAGGTTACAGGTCAGATCTGTGGAGAGGTTTTTCAAGGCAGTTTTTGTTTATTGCGATAGGTTAGTGTTTTTATTATCAAATAAATATCACTCCATTCACAAAAACATTTCTTGGTCCAGGAAAAAATATATCGAAATTCACAAATATAATTCATGATGTACAAATAAACGTAACAAAATTGACAAAAGCATTTCTCTACTTAAAAGAAAATGTTACGTGATTCACAAATGTCAGTGCAGTTACATTTATTTGCAAACCCATGAACCTGCATTTACAAAACACCATACAAATTTGTGACGACCCCTGCGTTTATTTGTGAATTTTTGAGACCTTCCTGATACTTACAGTTGATGAACCACTTTCCCCAGCCATTTTCACCAGTCAACTTGAAAATACTCTGGAACCTATGGACCTAACTACTAGTCTGATTGATCAGCCGGTTTCACTTTGTGGAAACAATTTGACCTCGCAGCATTAGGATTCATTTGCTCGACAGTAGGCAGGTTGTGACGTATGTAATGCACCAAATCCCGTAGGAAGAAGGGCAATAACGTCTTTCCCCTTAATAGAATTCACCAAACATTCTATTTGTTCCTCAATCTGGGGAATTGTTGTCAACACAGAATGTCTGTCTTCGTCTACATCCATCTCGACGCTTTGTTTACTGTTGTGGTGTCCCAAAAAAAAAGGGACCCAGTCATGGCTTCATAGTTCTTCGCTGATTGGCTGGTGTGCGGTCTACAACTTCAGGGGTTCTTGCAAGCCATCTAGTGTATTCTGATTCCTGACCTAGTCACTGGAGAGAAATGAAATTGAGCGGAGGCACTAGGTGGCGCCAGCCTGACTACCTAACTACTACTACTATGCACAATAGTAGCTCAATGTTGTCATAACTTCAGTGTTTGGCTTCTGAAAAAAACAAAACAAAACAAAAAAACATATTTGTGCATCAAACGCTGTCAGGAAGGTCTTAAAAATCCACAAATAAATGCAGGGGTCATCATAAATCTGTATGGTGTTTTGTAAATGCAGGTTCAAGGGTTTGCAAATAAATGTAACTGCACTGACATTTGTGAATCACTTCACATTTTCTTTTGAGTGGAGAAATGCTTTTGTCAGTGTTGTAACATTTATTTGTAAGTCATGAATTATATTTATGAATGTTGTTATATTTGTTTCTAGACCAAGAAATGTAATTGTGAATGGAGTGATATTTATTTGATAATAAAAACCCTAACCTAAACACAAACCCAGATGTGGGCATTATACAGCTCCCAGGTCACATATGGGTCAGTCCGTATGAAATCAGCCGTTTTCAAGGAATCTCCCATGTGAGCCATCTCAGATTTGGATGAAAAAAATTCAGAAAATTTCTAAAATCAAATCAAAATCAAATGAAAGAATCTCAAATTCTACCTCAGTCCCTTGAGTTGTTCCTGAGTTTTTCCTGAGAAATTTTGGGGCCATGCTCACTTTTTCTGAAGCCTTAATTTATAAGCATGTTTGAGAGACCATAACTTCATAAAAAAAATAGAGCTATGAAGCTGAAAATATGTATTATTATAGATTATAGACCATATTTGGGGCTCTACACCATCCACAGAAAAGTGTGAGATTGTTGTCAGAAATGGTCATTGTCTCAAATATTCAGGTTCAACAGTTAGTTTGTAAATATCTGCTTGGAGTAAATAGATCTTGGACTTCAAAAAAAATAAAATAAAATAAAATAATAAAAATAAAAATTTGCGGCAACCAAATTTGAAATTCTGAGGGCACACAACACCCTCTTAATAAAGATACCCAATATTTCACAACAGATTTACAATCTATGACCAAGAATCTGCAATAATACACATTTTCAGCTTCCTAGCTCTATTTTATGAAGTTCTGGTCTCTCAAACATGCTTATAAATTAAGATGTCCGAAAAAGTGAGCATGGCCCCAAAATTTCAACGGGCCATAACTCAGGAAAGACTCAAGGGACTGAGCTAAAATTTGAGATTCTTTCATTTGGTCATTTTAGAATTTTTTTTTTATTTATTTTTTCAGCCAAATCTGAGATGGCTCACAGGGGAGGGCAGCTGAATTCATATGGACTGACTCATATGGACCTTTGTTTGACTCTGACAGGTCTGTTTAAGATCATTTGAAATGACAAAATAAACATATTTTATCATTTTACCTCAGGCATGGTGTGACAAAGTCGTTCTTTGTCCCATTTAACATTCAGATTAGTTAGTTAAACATTTTGATTTTGAAAAGGGGCCTTAGGCCCAGGAAAAGAAATCCTCACTTTGCTTTGAAAGTGACCTGGAAACTCACCGGGGGGAGGTACTTCCTGCTGGGCGGGGGTAGAAAGCAAAGCTGCTGTTGGCAGTTAGGAGAGAGACTTCTGTGGAAATCATTTGGTGCTTTTGATCTGAGTCACTTATTTTCTGTTTTTTGTACTTTATTTTACATTACTCCAGAAGTCTGTTTTAAAATCAATTTTGTCTGGTTAAAGAAAAATGTTTTGTTGTCGTTTTCTTTATCACTCCACCTTTCTCTCTTTCTCTTTTCCACCATCACCCCCTTCTTCTCCTCTCTCATTCTCTCTCCCTCCTCCCTTTCTTCTTCCACTCCTCTCTCTCTTTCCTCCGTGTTGTTGTTGTTATAATGACTCTTTCTCTCTCCTCCCTCTCTCTCTTTTCATGTTGTTTAAACACATTTTATCTATTTTCTTTCTTCCTCTCCGCCCGTCGCTCCTCCGTGTTTTTATAATGACGTGTCTCTTTCTTCCTCTCCATTTGGCCTCCGTCTCTCTCCCTCCTCCTCTCTCTCTTTACGTGTTGTTCTAATGACACATTCCTGTCTTTATTCTTCCTGTCATCATTCTGTCCTCTCTTTCTCTCTTCCATGTTGATATAATGACTCCATCCCTCTCTTCCTCCCTCTTGTACTTCTAATGACTCTCTCTCTTCTCTTCTCTCTCTCATCCATCTTGTTCTAATGACACGTTTCTCCCATCCTTCTTCCTGTTGTCTGTCCTCCCCCTCTCTCTCTCTTTCCTCCATGTTTTATAATGACATGTGTCTCTCTTTCTTCCTCTTCCTATCTGTCTGGTGTCCTTCCTTTTCTCTCTCTATCTCTCTCTTCTCTGATTCTTTCTCTCTCCCTCTCGTTTATGTTTTTATAATCACAGATCTCTCTCTTCTCTCTTCCTATCATCTGGTCTTCCCTTCTGCTTCTCTCCTTGTCTCTTTCTCCATCCATCCATCCCTCCCTCTGCCTCTCTTCCTTCTCCTCTCTCTCTCTCTCTCTCTCTCTCTCTCTCTCCATGTTCTTCTAAACACATCTCTCTCAGTTTTTCTTTCTTCTTCTTCTGCTCCCTTTCTCCTTGTCTCTCTCCCCTCTTTCTTTGTCTCTCTCCCCTTGCTCCCTCTCTCCTCATCTCTCTCCCCCTCTCCTCTCTTTCTGTCTGCTCCCTCTCTCCTCATCTCTCTCTCCTCTCTTCCTGTCTGCTCCCTCTCTCCTTGTCTCTCCTCCTCTCTCCTCCCTTCCTGTCTGCTCCCTCTCTCCTCATCTCTCTCCCTCTCTCCTCTTTTCCTGTCTGGTCCCTCTCTCCTTGTCCTTCATTCCCCCCTCCCTCTCTCCTCTCTTCCTGTCTGCTCCCTCTCTCCTTGTCTCTCTCCCTCTCTCCTCTCTTCCTGTCTCCTCCCTCTCTCCTTGTCTCTCTCTCCCTCTCTCCTCTCTTCCTGTCTCCTCCCTCTCTCCTTGCCCCCCTCCTCTCTTCCTATCTGCTCTCTCTCTCATTGTCTCTCTCTCTCCTCTTGTCCTGTCTGCTCCCTCTCTCCTTCTCTCTCTCTCTCCTCTCTTCCTGTCTGGTCCCTCTCTCCTTGTCCCTGCCCTCACTCTCTGTCTCTCCCTCCTCTCCCTCTATACTCTTCTAATACTCCCAGCTCTCTCTCCTCTCTCCCTGTCTGCTCCCTCTCTCCTTGTCTCTCTCCCTCTCCCTCTCTCCTCTCTTCACATCTGTCTCTCTATATATATTCTTCTAATACCCCTCCTCCTCTCTCCCTGTCTGCTCCCTCTCTCTCTGTCTCTCTCTCTCCTTCTCTCCTCTCTTCCCCCCTCTCTCTCTCCTCTCTTCTCTTCCCTCTGTGTGTGTCTTCTTCCGTCCAAACGTACATTCAAGCTCGGTACATTCTTCCCTCGACATTTTATGGAGGTAATTTCACAGTTTTTTTTTCTTCCCTAATGGCCCCAGCGCTTCTTATCTGAGCGCACAAGATTACAGAGCAAACACGCAACATACACACATCACACACACATCACACAAACATCGCACACACATCACACACGACCATATCCGCCGCTCAAGTCGATTTCAGACTCACCTCAGTTGATCTGTGTGTTTTACTTTTAAAGGTACACTGTGTCACTTTGCTTCCTACTTCACCACCGAATGTGATGACTTTGAGTGAAATGGCATAAACTGAAATGACTTTTTATTTTATTTATTTACTTTTAATTTTATTTACTTTTTATTGCAAAAAAATGGGGTTGTCAAAAGTATCAGATATTAATCGATATTTAAACTAGTATCGAGAGTAGATACTTTAAGCAAGTATAAATACTGAAAAATAAAATCACAGAACTAGATATGGATTGAGTTTTATCAGAACTAGTGTAATAAGCAAATACTGTTATTATGTGTTGAAAATGTCCATGTTGTCTGAAAAAGAGCTCTTAAAATTATAATCAAATTTGGTATCGAGCATCAAGTCAGTTCTTTAGTATCAAAAGTGAGTTTGAAATTTTAGTATGAAAACAACACTACTCAAAAATACCTTGAAATACATTTACTCCTACTATTTGCCATAATACACTGTTTAATAGTGAAGATAAAAGTTCTAAATAATCAGTCAGTGCATCTTGTATTATTTATCATAGTGAAATACATTTAAAAACATACCCCAAGTAGACCCATTTTCTTGCCAGCTCCTTTCAAAACCACCTGTGGATGAGACATAGATGAGGTTAAAGGTCTGATATTACACTAAATGAACTCTTGTGAGCTTTAAGACATGTTACATTGTTTGGCAAAGGAGAAATTCAATTTGTCAACTGGACAAACGTTTATTTAGGTCGAAAACGTTTCACAGTTCATCCACAGCTGTTTCTTCAGTTCAGAACTAAAGAAGCTTCTACATGGATTTTACCCGGATGACTCAGGGATTTTACACACATGTTATAATGTTATTACCTCCACAAAAACACACCTGGAGTTGTGTTTTGTTTCACACATGTCTGAGTAATCCTGTATTATTAGTCTGTCAACATCTCCACAGCCCAAACAGCTCTTTCACCTTTAGTTCAGTAGAGTTTGGCAATTCCAGGGCTGAAATCATCATCAGTGTGTGGAGTTTAAAAACACAGTGGAGCCCTTCCTGTATTACCACAAGGTGGAACAGACTGTTTTCTGTCTGAGAGAAGAGGCTAAAGGTGCAGGGTTTGTGTGTTAAACATTGTGAATGAAACAAAACACAACTCCAATCATGAGGATAACCACTCTGCCACAGTGACAGTTCTTACCTTGTTATAAACATACTGCCGCGCTGCTTCTCGTCTCACTCTGTAAAAAAAAATAAAATAAAATGACTTGAATATAATCTTGTTATGTTGATTTGCTTCTCCTCTGCTATTGTTTTGCAGCAGCAGTAGCAGATAAAGTACAGTGAACTACATATCCCATGATCCTCTGCTGTCCTCTGTTTCATTTAACTGCAGCCAACATGAAGATATTACTGTTACTAAACATGTTTTCAATGTGAATCTTTTAGAATATGACAGTAAGGCCAGGACTGAATGCTTGTCTCTGCTGTTTTAGAGAAAAAGTAGCACATCCTCTGAACTGACAATTACTCTGTGCTACACAAAATTCACAACATCACTGATACCAATAAGGTTTCAGTGATACTGGAGATTTTTTCAAGAAACACTAAGTATAAGTAAGTTTTCAGGTCTAACTATATGCATAGAGATAGTACAGATGTCTGTACTTGAATAAATACTAAATGGGTATGTATGTATTGGTACTTTGGGGCATTTCAGGCAAAACAATAACGTCTCCATGGAAACAAGCAGGTGGCAGAAACAGCAAAAGAGAAGAACAACAAATATACTTGAGGACAAATCTGACATCACATCAGCTGAAAAGTCCATATGGGTTCAGCTCTGGTTAGCCACACACAGTGAGTGTGGTACTGTGCCATTAGATCATTGTTATCATTTTGTTCTTATGAACTGTACAACATGTGATGAAAATTACAGGTTAAAACCTGACTTGTCCCAGGTTCAGTGTGTGGAGAATTCCACTGGTTCAAGTTGGAGCGTGTCTGTGATACTGTCTCTCATCACTTCTCTCCCTGTGGTGTTTTACAGCCTCCTGTTGGAGGCTGCACTGTTGGAAAGGTAAACTAGAGGACAGACCCTGAATCTCTGCATTTGACTATTTAAAGACGTCTTGATGCAGACAGTACACAGCAGACTTATCAGCAGCTCTTGAGCTTGTCAAAATACACGATCTGTACTGGGGCAAGAACAATTGGTCAAAAATTGGGCAGAGCACCTTTAAGAAAACTTTTAATAAATTAAACTTCTCAGAGTAGTTTTCAGAGCCCATACTTTTACTCTGACTTCGCTTGAGTAATATGTTATAACACAGGTCTCCAACCTGTAGCTCGGAAGTTTCCAGTAGCTGGAGACTGGAGGTGTCACCTGCATATCTCCATGGCGATAGACATACACTGTGGAACATTCCTGTCTCCTTTTATTTCATCCCCTGAGGCTGTGTCTCTAGAATAATATTATTTTGTGGCTCTTACTTCAAAATATTTTTGACATTTTGTACGTCACCTGCTTGTCTCAGATACTTTTATTGCCATACTGTGGAACATTCCTGTCCTTTTTCAGTTCTCTTCTCTGTCCTCGTAACAGCTTTCATAAGATGTTGTTTGTCTTCTGTCTGTCCTGTACATGAAGCTCAGTTAAGACGGATCCTCTGTCACTGTACAACTGTACATCTACAAACAGATCACCAGCCACACCAGAGCGACGTTTCCCAAAACCCCTCCTCTGCTCCTCTCACATGCTCCTCTGCATCATCTGCTCCTCTCACACGCTCCTCTGCATCATCTGCTCCTCTCACACGCTCCTCTGCATCATCTGCTCCTCTCACATGCTCCTCTGCATCATCTGCTCCTCTCACACGCTCCTCTGCATCATCTGCTCTCCTCTCATCACTGCTCCTCTGCATCATCTCTGCTCCTCTGCTCCTCTCACACGCTCCTCTGCATCATCTGCTCCTCTCACACTGCTCCTCTGCTCATCTCTGCTGCTCCTCTGCATCATCTGCTCCTCTCACATGCTCCTCTGCATCCTCTGCTTCTCTTCTCTGCATCCTCTGCTCCATCTGACCCTGTCCTCTGTAACATTTTATACAAGTTCTTCCACCAGAAAAGTATCTACAGTGACACTTGCTGCTTTCTGGGTCAAGAACTCATGGTTGAAAAACAACAGAAATATCACTGTACCCTTGTTTGGAAGATTATTCTGCAAAGTTCTGTATTTGACTTTTTAATTATCAACTGTATTTGTTTTTTTTAAAGCACAATATGCATAAAGCTCCTATGTTATGCAAAACTGACTCTCATGAACTTTAAGTCATAATGTTCCCTCCTCAAAAACAGAGTTGTGTTGTTTCGTTTCATTCACACATGTTTCGATAACTCTTTATTATTAGTATGTCTACATCTCCAAAGCTCAAAATGCTCTGTTCCACCTTGTGATGTCATGAAGCGGTAGTTTTTTTAAGTGAACATCTCATTTTACCTTTAGTTCAGAATAGATTGACAAGTCCAGGACTGAAATTATCCAAATGATTCTAGTGAAGGTGTATGGAGTTTTAAAAGCACTTCTTGTATTACCACATGACATCACAAGGTGGAACAGAGTGTTTTCGTTTGAGAGAAGAACTCAGCCTAAATGTGCAGGGTTTGTGTGTTAAACTTGTGAATAAAACAAAACACAACTCCAGGTCTGTTAGTGATGAGGAAACAACATTACCCCTTTAATATTTGGATTTTGTGCAGCAGCAGAAGACGAGGTGTGTTTGTTTTATTAAAGTTTGTTTAGATTTCTACAGGTTTTACCTGATGAAGCAGCAGCAGAAGACGAGGCAGGGCAGCAGCAGAAACAGCCCGATGCCGATGATGATGATGTAAACATTCAGAGGAAGATGAAGGAACTCCTCAAAGCTCATCCTGGAGGTCCAAGGTCAGAGGTCAGAAGCCACCTCACTCTCACCTGAAGAAAAAAGCCAAAATTATTTTATTATTCACTGACAATTATAGACTAAACAGAATGAACAACACACACAAATTTATATTATAATAAATGGATAGTGAGATGAGACGGGAGACAAAAGTGAGTGCTAGTAACCATAATGAGAAACCTAAAAGTAATGATCCTTACAATGTGGAAACAGCACATGTGGCTAACGTTAGTGCTAAAAAAAAACAATTTATTGGCCTGTAAATAGAGAAGAAGGTTAGGGTTAGAGCCAATGGCACTATTTTCTGATGTACTTTATAATGTAGTTGGGTCCGTCCATATGAAATCACTCGCCCTCCCCTATGAGCCATCTCAGATTTGGCTGAAAACATTTCTAAAAAGTTCTAAAATTACCAAATGAAAGAAGCTAAAATTTTAAAATCTCTTGAGTCCTTCCTTAGTTATGGCCCGTTTGAAATTTTGGGGCCATGCTCACTTTTTCATTTTTTTGGAAACCATAATTTATAAGCATTTTTGAGAGACCAAAACTTCATAAAAAATAGAGCTATGAAGCTGAAAATGTGTATTATTGTAGATTTTGGGACATACATTCTAAATCTGTTGTCAAATATTGGGTGTCTTTATTAGGGGGGGTGCTGTGGTAGCCAGGCTGGCGCCACCTACTGCCTCTGTTCAATTTCATTTCTCTCCAGCGACTAGGTCAGGAATCAGAATACACTAGACGGTTCGCAAAAACCCTGGAAGTCCAAGTTTGAGCACCAGCCAATCAGCGAAGAGCCAAACATTCTGTGTTGTCAACGATTCCCGAGATCAAGGATTTAAAGCTGGAACAAAGAGAATGTTTGGTGAATTTTATCAAGGGGAAAGACGTTATTGTCCTTCTTCCTACAGGATTTGGGAAAAGCTTCATATACCAGTTAGCCCCGTTAGTGGTGCATTACATACGTCACAACCAAATAACAGCGACTGGATAAATAAAAAAAAGTACCCACCTACCGTCACGCGAACAAATTTTTACAAAGTAAAACCAGCTGATGAATTCAGGCTAGCGCTGTGGGCCCCCAAAATCTCACATTTGGTTGCCGCTCAATTTTTTTTTCAGTTTTTGAGGTCCAAGATCTATTTACTCCAAGCAGATATTTCCAAACTGTTGAACCTGATTATTTGAGAGAATGACCATTTCTGACAACAATCTCTTTTCTGAGCTTTCATGTGGACGGTGTAGAGTCCCAAATATGGTCACAGACCAAATGTGACCTTTTTGGCCCCTTCTTTGGACCCTCAGTTCCCCATGTGGGCACAGTTAGATGTTGATCAAATTTTTACTAGAAAAACTTTGGCATATTCTGATTAGTTTATAAGTAATAAAAACATTTACTATTAACTTCCTTCATCTCAAGCAGAATTTTTGAAAATGAGCTCTTAAGGGGATTTTTGGTGGAGCTTAGGGACTTTTCCAAGTGCTAGAAAGGTTCAATTACCTTCAATAGACTTAAACACTAACTACTTGTTATAATAGATTGTCAAATTTTATATTATTATTATATTATTATGGACTGTAAAAAATAAAAGTATTTTGTGGAGGAGAATTTTAGAACAACTAAAGGCTATAATGTTGTGATTTTGATAGAGAATTTTGCAGATTTTAAGTGATTCAACTTATTTCAAAATTATTATAATTTTTTTTGTGTGTGTGCTGTTTTTGAGTATTTGGTTTGTTTACAGTTGGTACTGAAACTCAAAATAATGTGCTAAAAACAAGTGTCAGCCATTTCAAAGTACTTTTTACTTTTTAATTCAGTTAAAAAAATGTACACGTTCTCAAATATAGTAAAGTGAAAGTAAAAATGTACCTTAAAATGTACCATTAAATTTATACTTGAGGATTGCACTTTTACTGTTGTACTTTGTTTGTTTTGTACTTTCCAGCCCTGAATACTAGTGACCATACTAAAAAGTTTCTGTCAATTCTGTGTCAATATTTTTTGTGTATGACTCTGGTCTTGTTTTATTTCCGCTGGCTTTGTGTTTGTCCCTTTGTGGCCACCGTACAGCTGTCCCATGATCCTCTCTGCTGTGTAAACTAAAGCTCTTTGTTTTGGATTCATTATACAAGTATGAGATCACAAAGAACGACTCATCACCACCGCTCGGCTCCCGTCGCACAATGCATTTACACAGCACACACACGAACAAATAAATATCACTGCTAAAATGAAGAACAACTAGCATGCTAACACACCATTCCTGATCATCTGACACACACAAAAAAGTGCTTTCTGATTAGATGCAAACACAGTGAACTTATTTTGACTTCAAGAGCTGCTTATTCAGTATATCTGTACCGGGGCAAGACAGTGTGACGTCAGTGTTTAGCTCCAGTCAAATGAAGCTCACTGAGAATATCAGTTATAGGGGCAAACTTGGAGTCGAGTTCCACATGAGGAATTGATTTATGGACAAAATAGCTAAATAAAAACACCAGGATCACGTATAGAGGGTTAATATGAACATTTTAAGACGAAAACAATGAGGTGAACAGCAGCATTTACAGAGACAGTTGATGTTTTTCAATATAAAGTGAACTGGAGCCAAAAGTCGATGGAGCTGGAAGTGCGTCCATGCTCACTTCTTATTTGGAAAGTGGGTTAGCTATGCCCATTTATATATACAGTCTATGGCTCAAATACATGGGAAAAATTGGGTACAGAGCCTTTAGCGGAGTAGCTTTTCTAAAATTTCAAGATCACTTTAAATACCAAGGGAAAGGCTTGATAAAAGATATCAATTTCTATATCACAATGATAATAAAAACACATTTTTGGGACATAAAATAAGTACTGTATTTTTCAGAATATAAGGCGCACTTAAAATCCCTTATTTTTCTCAAAAATTGACAGTGTGCCTTATAATCCGGTGCGCCTTATGTATTAATTCTGGTTGTGCTTCCTGACCTCGAACCGATTTTCACATATATTCCACTGAGTCATGTCCTTTAGTCTGACAGAAGCTGACAACATCAGCGCACAAGGAGTCAGCTGTTTTTTTGTTTTTGTAGAGCTTATAGTTTATGTTAATTAGCCATGTGGTTTTAAGTTTCATTTCTGTAAAATGTAAACGAATGTGCGCAAAGCTGCATTAAACACATTATTACTCAATGTATATTCAAGTCGTCCTCATAGGAAATAAAAAAACAAACTTAAATGATCCAGCCACATTCACATTTATAATAAACATTCACCAAGACAGGGAGGCAACGCCGGGCAAATTACCACGATCTGTCAATGGATCATGGACGCCTGGGCTGAGGATCAGCCTCAAGTGTTGTCCATTTGTTTCACTTAATGCGCCTCATAGTCTGGTGCACCTTATAGTCCAAAACATATGGTAACAATTTCTTAAAAATACCATGTGGTCTCATACTAGGTCTGATATTCAATAACAGAGCGTTCTAAAAGTATGCTGGAAAGGTCCCATTTTCTTCAGTTTATGTAATAAATGCAGTATTCATAAAGATGTATCTAGTTTTGATATTGGCTGCACAGTTGATAAGTATCTGGGTATTGACACCGACAACCCTAACCCTAACAAACAGGAGGTGCTGTCAGGCTAAGTTAGAGGTCAGATCTGTGGAGGGGCAACCCCACTCACAGTAAGAATGCATGGTTTTTCCAAGTTATTTTTCTTAACAGTGAAAACTATTGTAATTGAACACATTTCACTTCAGGCAAAGCAGTCTCCATAGAGACAAAGCAGGTGCAGGATGCTTTATTAGAAAAGTGACATGGTATGCCTTTAAGGAGTCATAAGTATGAGAGGAATTCTGAAATGTAAATGAACATTGTGAATTGCAGGGACTTGCTCCCATGTCTTGGAGATGTTTGGCCTTTCCCTGTTTAAACCAATGAGAGTGTCTGGGCTCAGTGGTATGTCTTATTGTCTGTAATTACATTTCTGTCCTGCAGTATTTATACATAGAAATAACAGAGGGCCATGTCTGTGCACAACACTCACATGGTGTTTGTGAATTGTTCACATGCCACAGTGACAAACAGCCCATGATTTCAATTAGACTCATAAGGAAACACGAATATGTGTCTCTGGTTCTGCTGCTTTCTAAAAGCACTTAGACAGATCGTCTGCCTGTTATATAGGATGAGAACATTGCACTACAGGCTCCATCCTCTTCAGTCTACTTCCTTATGTCAAACCAGACTCCTCTGAACACAGCCCTGAAATATCACAAAACAAGCTCAAACTAAAATGTTTTGGTATGTTATCAATATTGTAAATGATGGGGCATGTTGGCAGAATGGTGAGCGTTATTGCCTCACAGCGACAAGGTTCTGGATCTTTCTGTGTGGAGTTTACATGTTCTCCCTGTGTTTGTATGAGTTTCCTCTGGGCATTCTGGTTTCCACCATTCACCCAAAACATGGATACAGGTCAAATTTTCTAGCTAAGGTAATCCTGACCAACACTAGGTCAAGATCTGGAGATGGGTCACTCTGCAATGTAACCTTGTGCTGCAATTCTTTTCATGATATTTGTGTACACGAGTGTTCAATAGTTCACAAACTCTTGAGAATCCATCTTGGAATGCACCCACTGTACGATTAATTGGGTGGGAGGACCCATCACGTCGCATGTAATTTGCATGTAATTGTTTGGGAGATAGTTGGTTCGTTCATGTGTATTTTTCGGGAGCTTCTCTCAGCTCTATGTTCCATCATTTCTAAGGCATTTTTTCTTTCTTACCAAAATTAGGCCCTATGTTCCAACATTTCCTTTATCATCACTTTGCATCAGATTTTATCCCCATTTCTCTGAACATGGTTGTCAGTCACACCCAACCTATTATCCAGCAACGCTTGACTACAGATGTGATGTAGATAGTGCAAAGGATCCTAGGATGAAATGACTCTGAATCAGCCCTTTAAATCAAATCAATCAAACTTTATTTATAGAGCATTTTTCATACAAAAATGCAACACAAATGCGGCATTAACATA